GCTCTATCCTTACCCACACACTTTCAACAGGGCAACTCTCAAAATGCTGAATTTCAGTGCAAGCGTATTCATTCTTGACATATAGTGCCACCCCGCCTCCTTTTTTGTTTATTCTGTTTCATTTAATTCAATCGCTGTGCTCCACAGGGGTCATTTCCTGCAGGAGCGCACAGGAGCGGAGCTCTGGCAGTAAAGAGCCCAGGGGACAGGCACATGCAACAAGCCCCACCCCCTGCTCCCAGCAGCCCTCAGTCAGAGCAAGAAACAGCCAGGTAAATTGCAGAGCCCCCCCGGCCCCCGGGTCCAAAACAGTCCAGTGGCACCTTTAAGATCAAGTTTTATTCAGGTACAAGCTCTCCCTCCTCTGCAAGGACAGATCTGCACATCCCCCCCCCAATAGCTAGCAATCCAAAACAGTCCAGTGGAGCCTGAGCGGTGGGTGTTGCCTTCTGACATACTTCCGGTGATGTCAGGGGGTGTGGCATATGCAAATAAGTTATGCTAATGAGTTATGCTAATGAGCTCCTGTACCTCTTTTTCTACGAAATGACCCCTGGTGCTCCATATATGAGATTCATCGCACCAAGTCTCAGTGATACCTATCAGATCATACTTACTTTCCACTATTTGAAGTTCAAGTTCCTCCTGTTTATTTCCCATACTCTGTGCATTAGTATAAAGACATCTCAGATTGCAGAAATTCTTTCCTACCATAGGTCCCTTCGATTTTACATGCAAATTACTGAACTCACCTCTCTCCCATTAATTTATTCTCTGGTCACCCCCCTTCTTGAACTTAGTGTTGGGGGTGCCGCACAACATCAGGCTTTTTCTTCCCACCCCCAATGTCTTCAGTTTAAAGCCCTCCTGATCAGGTTCGCAAGTCTTCCAGCAAAGACATTCCTCCCATGCTTTGTAAGGTGCACCCCATCCGTCGCCAACAGTCCATGTCGGAGTTACATACCATGGTCCAGGAAGCCAAATCCCTCTTGACAGCAACATCTACGTAACCAGCCATTCACCTCCAGTATCCTCCCTTCCAGCCCCATGGCCCTCGACAGATAAAATGGAGAACACCACCTGTGCCCCCAGAACTTTCATCTTCTTGCCCAGAGCCTCGTAGTCTTTGGAGATACATTCAAGGTTTCTTCGGGCCATATCGTTTGTTCCCACATGGATCAGCAGGAGCGGGTAGCGGTCAGAGGTCTTGACCAGTCTTGGTATTTTCTCAGTCACATCTTGGATACACACTCCAGGAAGACAACAAACCTTTTGAGATTCCTTGTCCGGTCTGCATACACCTTCTTCTGTCCCTCTCAGTAGGGAGTCACCAACCACCACTACTAGTCTCTTCTTCCATGGGATAGCTTGGTTCCTTCTCTGCCTATGTGCTTGTATGTCAGTCACATCCTTTTGATCTCAGAGTGTGCTATTCTGATCTGCCATCATCAGAAGCGGCTAGTATCAATTTTGCAGCTCCACTGGCTGTGAGTGTTTCTTGATTATCTTACTCCTCAAGGTCACATTCTTCCACTCACCCACCTGTTCCTTGTTACTTACTTCCTCTTGCTCAGGATTTGCTAGCTCTTGCCATTCTCTCAGGAGCCCCTCTTCCTTCATGTCTAAAAAGCTTTCTGCCTCCCTGATGTTCCTCAGTGTACAGATTTATGCCTCGAGTTCTCCCACCTTCTCCTCAAGCATTCTTATAAGCTTGCACTTGCAGCATGTGTAATGCATTTCACAGCATGGCAGAAAAATGATCATGGCACAACCCACACAGGTCACTGGAATAGATCCTTCATTATCCATCTTCCTTGGAGCAATGCTATCTTCTACAGCCTCAGGAACTTTCCTCAAACTTTGACGTAAACTCTTGTTGTGGTAATGTACCCTGAAAACTTTGAGACTGACCAAATGGCTACCTTGCCAGCAGTTCTCTCCCAGAACTCAGTAGCAGCCCTCTACTCAGGTTCTTACAAGGCCTCCAAGCAAGAGCCACAGGCTACAACCCACAGGCTAAGAGCCACAGGGTTAAGAGCCTCTGGCAAGGAGCAGCCTTTTGTTTCAAAAGGCCCCTTCCTGCTCAGCACAGCAGAGGCCAGCACAATAGGGGGCGGGGCTTGCAATCAACAGCACTCCACAGCAACTCACTCAGCCTCCAACAACCCCCAAAGCACAAACTGTCCCAAACAGACTTAAACCGAACCACTCTCTATCAGGCTACAAAGAACCCAACTCTCTCTCAGCTCCCACACAGCAGCTGGGAAGGCAAAGGGAGAAAGAAAAATCCCCTGCCTTCTATCAGCAACCCACCACATGCTCTCCACTCCTTGCCTCAGCCCAGCTGACTCTGCTGACAATGCTTATCCATTTGGCTTATTTTGGCTTATTTTGTTCTATAGAATCTGTCATTCCTAGCAGTGGTACCTTTCACGTGAAGCTGCCCAAGAAACGAGGTGTGGAGCTTGGAATCACCATCAGCTGTAAGTATTGTTCAAGTTGTAGCTACTAAATGAGGTAATGTATCTTACACTTTTCTTCACAATGAAAGGATGGGTTATGAATACTTTTTGCACCTGGTGCTCACTGGATAAAGCACATCCAAACTTCTTAAACTGAGGAGAGCAGAATTGCTGTTACGTTTCTTTCAGGCTTGGGTTCATGCAAGGGGAGAACTGGGCAGATGGGACTGTACCCTGGATTTATCTCCCAGGGTGAATCAGTAGCCTTGGCTCTAGGTGAGAACTCAATTGTATTCCAAAATAAATCTCAAAGCTTCTGTCAACGATTTTTTTCCCCCAAAACTGAAGGTCATTTTTCATCTTTTCATGGAGGTCTGTAACCAGAGACACCAGGTAGTCTTAACATAAATATAGTGCCCTAGAAAATTAAAAATCCAGTGCTGATTGGAACTAAGGCTACACTGAATCTTCATCAGGGTCATTATTTTGCAGCACATGATGCTTCCTGTACTCCCAGTTAGGTATGGACAGTTACTATCTTGACGGTATCCTGCCTTAGCTGAAAAGTGGGCACAAAGAGTAAGTTCTCCAGATAGAGTGCTAAAAGAAAAACAATTAGACCTTGTTTTTTGTGCATTGGATCTCACATGTGATATAATTTCTGGTAAGTCCAGTTGTTCACTTTGATTTTTATCCAGTGTTCATCTCCTTCAATCAATCAAAGAACTGTCTGATTAGATTAAGAACTATATCACACATTTTCTGGCCGTACTGATTGGACTCCCCCCCCCCCCCCCCCCCCCCTCCCCACCCCAACGTCCGTCACCTAAAAACAGCGAAGGGAGAACAACTTTTCATTCAGTAGCCATAACCGTATCACTGTCTCATTTACTGTCTATAAAATGAACCCAAGAGAGACTGACCTCATAGGGCTTTTGTGAATGTGATTGAGATAACAATCCCAATCTCAAAGCACGTGGCAGAGATAAAATGATAACTGATTGCAATTTGTCCAGTGTGGATCTGCCTTTTTGATCAGAGTGCAAGTCTTAAAAAAAAAAAAAAAATCCCTCTCTTAGTTTATGTGTCAGATATTTGCAGCAGGATAATGTGGCATGTTTCACTTTGAGTGGAGTCAATAACTGACATTTAAAAATAAGTTATACATGCATATGTTTCTTCTAGCCTCAGGAGGATGATAGCTGGTTAAATTTATACGCCGTTCTTTCTTAATTATTTGTTGAAATAGCTTTTCACAGTGCTGCTTGAGAGGGACTGTGTACTGAAGTATAATTTGGGGGGGGATTTTTTAAATAGATATTCAACTTCACTCTGTATGGTGTAATTTTGAAAAGCATTTGAATTTTAAAGCAGCTCAAGGCCAATCCGTACATCTGCTTTCGTTGTGATGAAGCTAGTGATGGGCGAACTCCCGCCATGCTGTATTATGATCGGGGCTGGCAATGATGAGCAAAAGATGAGGACAAAAACGATTCTTTCTTTCATTCCAAAAATCACTTGTAGTTGCCAGCCCCAGTTCATATACCTCTAGTGGCTTCCAAGGGGACTCAGTGACTGTGGTGGTGGGAGAATGGGAAAGCGGTCTCTCTCCCGGTTGGATCCAGACTATATTTTCCACCAGCAGAAGGGATGGGATAATGGCTTCTGATTCCCTTGTCCTGCTGCAGAAGTCCAGTTTGCCACTCATGCTGGTCCTGAGGGTCCCTTACCCCCCTGTATGCAGCCTTTCAGGGAGATCAGTGGGCTGCAGTAGGAAGGGGGAAGGCAGGAGTGTTCTGTTCCATTGACAGAAGTGTCTTGTGCAAGCTGAAAACTTAGTCTGGAGCCAACACTCTGCCTCTGTGTCTCTCCTCAGCCTTTTGCTCTTCTCCCTGGTTTCTTGAACACTGCTATGCTTGCATTCCAGCTACCGGGAGTAGTCAAGCACCCTGGGAAAACGAAATGTCCCAGCAGTCTTAGAGCTGTAACACAAACATAGCAGCATTCTACAATGGGCAAAGAAAAAGAACCATAGAGGAGAAATGAGTAGGAGAGAGAAGAAGTATTCCCACATGAGCCTATGCATTCGTTGAAGTCAACCTCTGTGTGCCCTAGGGTTGCCAAGTCGGGTGTTACGCCACAGTGGGGGACTCCCGGCTGGCGTCTGGAGTGTGCGCGCACATCACCTGGAAGTGACGTGATGACACCAGGCATGCTGGGGCGGGGCCACGACCATCCGAGGGAAAACCATAGAGTTTTCCCTTGGATGACCATGGCCCCGCCCCCAGCAAGCCCGGCATGGTCGCATCACTTCTGGGTGACGCGCACGTCGGGGTGGGGCTCCCCCCAGGGCCCGATCCGCCACCGGCGGGGAACGGGCCTCTGGGGCAGGGGTTTCCCCGCCCCCGGGGGGACTTGGCAAGCCTAGTGTGCCCCTACTTTTGGAGACCAGGCAGGTAGTTACCAGGCACAGAACTGTCTTGGTGCTAGGCCCAGGTTCTGCAGTAGCTTTCCTGGAGGTTTTGCTTGACTCCCATTCATTGTTAATTTCAGTACTGGGTTTAAATCATTTTATTTGAAAGGGTTTTTAATGGCAGATAGAGTCTTCTGCTATATATTTCTTACCAATTTATTCAGCTCTGGTTATATTAATGTATGTGTTTACTGTGCATTGCTGCTTTCCCAAGATTTTATTTTCACTCTTCTGTTAGCCACCATGTAGGTTGCACAGTGGTAAGGCAGGATACAAATATGTTAAATCAATTGGGGCGAGGATTTCTAGTTGTCAAGGGCAAGCCTTTGGTGATGTCCTGTTTAGATCCTTGCCCATCTCCACAGGGAACAAAACAAGAATCAATTATGCAGAGTAGTACAAATTGCAGGCTCAATTATGCAAACTAAGAGAAATTATGTAAAACGTGATTAATTGCTAAATTTATGCGGATTATAAAATTGAATTTTTCTGGCACGTGCACAGAGCCACACTTATGACTACCCCCCCTTCCTCTCACTCTGTGCCAGTTACTGATGACCTCTGTAGAAAAGCTTGAGAGGTAACAAGCTCTCTGACACATTAAATACAGCTGTCACCACCTGGAAGGTGCATTCAAAAGTGTGAAACTGATGAAGTAAAGTCACCTTGTGCTGACTTCACCACATCAAAAAGTAACGTCTGAATTAGCCATCAATCAAGTGGGGGAGAAGGAGTAGCAAACTGGGGCTAGCAAGATCTGCACTCCACAAGCTTCAGACAGCCTGGGGGTCCTTTTGTGAGAGATCTGTAATTTATTATAGATTTTCCTATTATCTTTTAAATTTCTAGTTCTTATGTTTCTGGAGACAAGTATGAGAATGTTTGTTTGGCTCCGTAGTCTTTGGGTCTTTTTCTTCAGTTTTTAAACCCACCTTGTTTCAGGGTGGACCCATTTGGTACTCTACTGATAGGTGTGGAGACAGTGACGGTGGGTTAAAGTTTTTTTTTAAAACATATTTTTATTGGATTTTCACCATAATGCACAAATCAATAATGGTTTACCATAATTTGTGTCATCCCATTAACACCTTATACAACCAATATACTATACTAAGCAGCAACAGCACCAACAATGATCATTATTCACTTCCCCCCCTTCATCTTATTCATCCAGTAGCCAATTCTCAAATAGTAATTACATACATCCATTAATATTCACTTTAAATCTATAATTTGTTATTAAACCGGCCATCTCCCTTTAACAGCCTTACTTTCTCAACAGACAATACTAAAGAGTTACCTACAAGTTACAGCATATCTATAATTTTTAACATTTTATCTTATTTTAAATCATTTTTATTTTATTTATATACCTATTTTTCTCAGTTTTTTAAATATTTCCTTATTTTTCTTGTTTACCCCCCAGCTATTCTAGCCAGGATCGTCTTTATAAATTTTTATCTTGACTCACTGCTGCAACCCTTCCTTTTCAAGTATTTTCACACTTTAATAGATAACCACCATCCTAATCCCTAAGCCTATAGCTCACAGAGGCACATATACCACTACTAAGACCCTTCTATAAACACACATTTTTAAGGCTATAATTTATACCTTCCTGATCTTCTACTCACATTAATTTTAACCTTTTACAAAAATGGAGAGACAAAACAAAAAGAAACAAAAAGAAAAACCCATAAAATACAGTAAAAAACTTTCATACTAATTAATCATATATTTTAAGACTATCATTCATACCTTAATAGCAATCACTTCAATTCATTCCATTTCCCCCCCATTTTTCCCCAATATCAATTCATTTCATTTCCAACGTAAGCTCAAAATGCACAATATAACTAATACCTCTTTCTTTAACACACTTTTCCCACTGCCATATATATTATTCATTCATTCCATTTCAAGAAGAAACGAAAAAACATATATAACATTACCAACACTTAATACCTTAACACACATATTCATACCTTAATGACTCTCCAATCCAAACCATTTTTCACCCAACTCCTAATAGCATAAACTACTAACGCCTTACTATATTACTTCATCTCCCTTATGATTCTTACTTTAGTGACCCTCTAATCATAATAACTCATTCCATTCTGCCCAGTTATCATATCAATTCATTCCAATTCCATCAAAGACCAACACCACGCATAAAACAAACTTTCATATATTTTAAATCGTCTTTTGTATCTCTGAAGCCTTTTCTTCTGAAGCACCATTTCCAGATGGTTTCTCCCCTTGTAAATGTAGCAAGTCACTTTTAATCTCTCCTCACCAACTCTCCTCCCTTCACATTTCCAACTTGTACCGATCTTTTTTACTTTCCACATCAATCCTCCCTGTCTCTTTCCTCTCCATTTTTCTTTCTTCTTAACAGCGAGTCGCAATATTTTTCTTCTTATTATTCCCATCTTCAAATACCTCTCTTTGGGTGTCTTTTTCTTCCCTCTTTTAAGCCCTTTAATTTCTTTTTCCTGTGGGTAAATAGAAGTCTCTTCCAAACATTGCCTGCTTTGCTCCGTTT